GGACTTTTACACTAAAACATTTTGGACACAGTGGCTGAGCTTCAGTGTTTGCAGCACTGAATGAAGCCGTGAAATTACAAGCAATTTAAATCTTTTTTTTTTGCCCACGATGAAAAGTCATGGTTGAGCAGGTGCTCAAAGGAACTAATAGACCTGAATTTGCATGAAATGAGCTGTTTAAATGCCCGGTTCTGAGCAGGTAGCTTTGGAGTTCAGGATGTGTGAACATTTGAAAGAATTTTTGCTCACTTTTGTCACAAAAGCTTTTTCTTACTGTGAAACAACTTCAGGTCGGAAGTCTGAGGAAACCCATTTTTTCGACCCAACGTACAGTATGACAGAATGCTTTGAGCTTCCAGGTGGTCTGTGGGCCTAATGTTTCAAAGCAGAACAAAGAGTTTGTTATTTTGATGAGCCAACAGTTTTGCCGTGGAGAGCCTGTTTTTTACTGGGAGAGCTCGTCCCCAGAGAGCCAAGGCGTCTCAAACACAGCAGGAGTGTGAGTCATTGTGCTCTGTAATTTGCAGCTGTCTTTGGTGACCACGACTGTAGACCTGTTAACCGGCCTGGTCCACATGTAAAACTTTCCCTTCCTCTCAACATAATAATTACAACGTTACTTCCCAGATTTCTCCCTCTCTTTTGCAGCATGTATAAGTTTAACTGAAATGACAGCTTGCTGGAAGTTCTTTCTAGGACAGGCCTGATGACTATTTTTGGTCTCTGACCTTCTTTCCCGACAAAGAGCCTCTGTTAATCTCTTCAATAATTTCTCTAGCAAATCTGTCTTTTCCCCCTGGAAACTGCTGTAATTGTAAAAATACAATTTTCCAAGGCTTTACTTTCAAGGCTCATCTTAAACTTTAAGTACTACTTCCACTGTGGCTTCAAGCTGACGCTGGAGACTTAAAGGTAGAACAAGGTGGACTCACTGCTACCATGCTCGAAAGGGGCATTTGGGACTTTAAAGACTTTCCGATCTGTATTTTCCCATCTATTTACAGTTCCGTATTTCAAACTGAATCTCCAAAAGTGGAAGTCTGAGGTCCTGTGGTAAAGGAAGAGAGAATTACAGCCCTAATACTCGTGCACTTTTTTCTCCTGCTGTGTTGACATTGGTCTAGTCACTTATTGGTCAGATTGCAACAGCGTGTGGTTGGATAAAACTGTGGTTCTGGTGCTTGAACCCCATCATATGCCAGACAGACAGGTGGACTGTGTCTGGAAACTCTTGCAAGAGCATTTAAATGGCAACATTTCTCTCAAGTGGCTTTCTAATGAAGAGACTGAACATTTGATCAACCGTGGTCTTCCAAAGAAGGAAACCCTTTTTACTAAAATACTGTTGCTGTGAGCATCTAATTTTGTGAACCAAGCCGACCACTTCCAGACTGTACCTGTCTATGTTGTAGCATCTTATGTGCAAAGCAAATGGCTTCTTCCTCTGAATATTTGTTTTGCAACTTAATGAAACATTCATTTAGACCAGTAAACTTAAATTGAAAGCTGGGCACAAGAGGTCTGTTTGTTTTTAGTTCTCCTTGTTTGTTTCTGTCTGTATTTTTCACAGACAATAATTATTACCTTCATTTATTCTGTCCACGCACAGCAGCAGATTCTGCAGATGCTAATCTACCAAGGGGAAGTATTTATGCAGGCAGCGTAAAAGTAAAAACTGCAAGTTTTTTAGCAGGTTCTGCTTGTTGTTTTCTGCATGTTTGCAGCCAAGTCTAAATGATGGATTGAAGTTATGCCTCTAGCTGGGTCTAAATAAACAAAACAAAAACAAAAATCTAAGGAATTCTGAGGAAGCCACAAAAAGAAACCCAGCTCAGACAAGTTTCTATGACCTGTTTATCACATATTTATTACCTGAAGTTAAACTTGATCTTGGCTGGATAGTCTCAACAAAGGGTGGCAGAATAAACTACTTCGCTGGTGGGTGTACTTGGGTAAAAAAAGAAAGAAAGAAAAAAACTCTACTGGTTCAGGGTTGGCACAGAGCAGATGGAGAAAAGACAGTAATCTTGTCATGATTATTAAGCTGCTCAACGTGTTCAGCAGAACCAAGCAAATACAGAATCTAGCAAAAGCATCCTCTGCATGACGTCCTTTTTGTTGTCTGAACTCTGTCTGAGCAGTCTTGCAGTCATGATGTTCATTCCTTTGCCGTCTTTTGGTCACCTGCTTTCTTAGAGGTGCATTCTGGCAATGGGGCGACTGATTAGAACTCTTTGTTGAAAAAAGAAGGCTCTGCTTCCATATATGAAATGGTGAGAGAGTTTTTATCATAGTTAATGAACGAGTTAGTGTGCTTTACATTACAGCTCTCAAACATGGCTTCCCTCTGAAGCCCCCGTAACAGTGTTCCGTCCTTTATGTAACAAGAAGAGAAATATGACTCATATTAGCTTTCCCACAGTGCACCAGATGTTGTTTTCAAGTCTTTCATTTTAGGAGCCACAAAGACCTCAAGCAGGTACACTACGTGTGGGGCTTTCAGCCACCTTTGTGTGATGCTGAAGATCAACATATGACGACTCTTTCATTTAACTGTCGAGTGACATCGCTAAACATGACAGCACTGAACCATCTCTGTCACTTTCCGGATGGGTTTTGTCAGTAACACAACTTGCTTGCTTCTGAAACAATCACATTCCTTTTTTTTTTGCTTTTACATCACCCGTGAAGTTTTTGGGAGAACATTCTTGCAAGTGTCTGAGTCTGTGAGCCTTGTCTGAGTTTTGATGCTGAGCTGCAGGCAAGTGTTGATTTTCAAGAGACACTTTCACCTAAAAAAAAATAATTAGCAGGACCTGTGGAAAAAGCTGTGAGCACTGTGACCAACCAAAGCCAAAGCTGTATGTAGGATTTGGCTCCGCCTTTTATTCAATATATGCATCCAAGAGAATCCAAGTTAAATTAAAGGTTTTACAGTCCCTTTTTGTAATCAGGTATTGCACTGCATTTCTCATCAGGGTGTTGTTATGTTATTACACCACTGTGAATTACATAGTTTTGCTTCTTTTCCTAGGGGGGGAAAAATCATTTTTAAAAACCTACCTGTCACAATTTTCATGTTTGTATTTTAAAGTCCTTTACTTTCACTTTAAACATGCAGTGGAGCCCCTCTGTCAGGTTTAATCCCCTCCATAACTCACAGACAAGTGGCTTGCCTCATTGGAATTAAGCTAATTATATTCCACGCCTATACATGTGCAATCATTGAAAGCTATACTTTCAGCCACTATTATCTTTGTCAGGTTTAATGACTGTGAAACACCCTCCTCAAATTAAAGGTCGGAAATGTGCCAAACCCAACATTAAAATTTGGAGAGTCTTTTATTATTTTTTTATGTTAAAAGGCCAACCTTATTTGTCTGATGGTTTGAATAAGCTTGATATCAGGTGCCAAAAGGAGCCGGAGCTCGAAGATATTTCAGGATTTTTGCTCTGAGATGAGATGTAGCAATAAACTTTAAACGTTAGTTATGACTGGGGGATAAAGACACAAAACTGGTATTTGCAGACACACAGAAGGTCACAAATGTACACTCTGGCAAGCATTAAATAGGAACAGTTTTTTCCCTTGAACTGCAAAACATGCATCCAAACACACCATCCAGTTTTAAAGGCTAAGAATAAGCAGTTATGATTACAGCAAAACTTTGTCATTCTGTTTTAACTGGAAATGATAGGTAAAACAATACTGTCTTTGTAGGCATTCATATTCTGGTCTATGATTAACAGAAATTTAATTGTGTGGTTAGAATTAAGGTTCTTTTCTATTTTTATTTTTGTTCCCCCTGGTTTTGAGCACTGTGTTGAAATGTGTTCCCCGTGTTTTATTGGCTTTGGAACAGGCCTGCTCTGGTTTACACACACATGCGACAGTGTCTGTTGCCATGGTTTTGTTGCTTTGTTAAGCAATATGTTTAGCATACACAAGGTTATGTTATAGAGCTCAGAGTGGTTTTTGGTGTTTACACAATGGAAAGCTAAAGAGCTTTATTTAGGTTGCTTTGATCCAATGTGCAGTCACCACTATGATGAATGCTCTTTGATTTACTGCTATATCTGGACCCACAGGGTTTGAGCACATGATGAAAGTTTAGTGGACTCATCAGTCAGCAAGTAATCCATCACAGATAAAGTGAGTTTACCGGTGACAGGTCAGACCAAGGAGCTCTGAGGTAAGTATTTCATTCTTACAATAAATCAAAACAGAGACTTGAACAACACTCCATTATGTGTATCAAATGTTTTCAATCTACAGTACTGATTATCTCAAAGAAAAGATAAGTAAACATATCAAACTCTACAGACATATAATTTGTTTTATACTTTTCCCTTTAACTTGTGTATGTATGTTAAATTTTCACAAGAAACTACAAAAGGGCATCATATGGAAAAATTGCTTGTTTTTTAGACTGCTGACAAAACATAACATCTTCATCCAAAAAGTTTAAAAGCTTTGGGTGTAATTTCCAATTTTTTGTGTTGATCAACCAAAAGCCTATTTTTTGTGAGGTCCTTACCTAAAAGTGTGTTTTACATGGAATGTATGCTCCCCAAACTGTTGAGTATTGGCAATGTGTCAAGGCTGCATGAAGCAAATTATTCAAAACTTATGTCCAGTTGTGAATGTCGTGAAAAGTTTAAGTTTACAAAGATGTATTGTTAACTTAAAAAGTTGTGTGCACCTAAAAGAACAGAGCTGAAACCAATCCCAACTGCACAAACAATGTCTAATTACTTTTTGTCCATTTGTCCTGGGTATAATGTCACAATTTAGGATTACAGACTATGGGATGTGTATTTTTTCTTGGAACTGTGATGGTGATGCTTAGAGGTCTTACAATCTAATCGTCATGGAGCTGTTTAAAGCATGTTTAATGTATTCTCTTGTAAGAGAGGCAGGATACACACTGCTCCCACCTACGCAGAAATGATGGAATCATCACGAGAATGAAAAACGATTTTGGTTATCATTCAGTGACATGTGGTAGTTCATCGAAGAAGAAGAAGATGAATGGACTGAAACAATGGATCTGTGTGGACAACAAAAAAAGGATAAAGTGCTGATGGTTCAACTTCGAACTCTATATTTGCTTTATTTAGTCAAGAGATGGCATTGACCTTTGTGTAAACATTTGTCTTGAAAAACTAACACAAAAATTTCAATCATGGCATTTACATTGACACCTATTTCCCGGATATGTCTTTTGGAAGAAGAAAGAGAAACCCCTGTGGTATGGAGGGTGCAGGAAAACTACACACAGAACTGCTAAGGACTGGAACAACCTTGTAAGGTGAGGAGGGCCATGCTGTCGTGCTGCTCTGTGAGAATCTCTTCTAGCCAATTCAATCTGTATTTTATTCTAATTTTATGCTTCAGAACAATGTGCCACTTTTATGTCTCTGAGGCGAACTTTGATTGATATGTACAAGTTTAGGATAGATCATGGGCTACTTTTGCAGGACGGTACAGATTAGTTTGGAGTCACAGCACCATTGACATCCTTTGGGGTTACTTTTCATTTTCATTCCTCCTTGGGCCTTTAAAGTGTAGGTTACTGTTAGTTCAGCGCTTGATAGCAGAGGAAGGGTGTTTCAGGCTCCAGCTTTGATGGCCATTTGGACATTTATAACTTCTCGGCCTATCTGTTGTGGTGAAGGGTGTGTTCATCTGTGGGCTGGATTGGCGCTAAATGTCTAATTATGCATCTTCCTACTTTTCGACTTTCCCAGGGTACAGTAGCAGTAACTTAATGTGGCACATGCTCTGTAATCAGTTATGTCAAATACCGCATGCGGCACATTCTCACAGATAAAGCTCCCCAGCGGTGCAACGCACTCACATCCTCTCCTCACAAAGCTTTAATCATGCTCCGTTCACGTTTGCTTCACACAGATACAAGCCATGCTTGTGGGTATACATTAAACACCTGCTCAATGCTAAATGGAATTCTTTATAGATAATTTAAACTCAAGAGCTGGACAATCAGGTTAATTGGCTTGAATAAAGTAACGGTGGCAAAGAAAATACTGCAGTTTATGACTGATTATCTGAAGGCTTGCCAATCTATTTTTGTGTGAACCAGCTCAGAGATGCGTGGTGATTAGTCTTGATATCAAACAATGACAAAGGCAATTTAGAATGTCCAATCAACCTAACATGCAGGTTTTTGGATGGTTGGAGGAAGCCGGTGAGAACCCACGCAGACACAGGGAGAACATGCAAACTCCACACAGAAAGGTCCTGGTTCCCCCCAAGGACTTGAACCCACAACCTTCTTGTTGTGAGGCGACAGTGCAAAACACCTCACCTACACCACATTTGAAAGTCATCCTTCATAAAAGATTGAAGCAACCAACGTGGCTATGATTTATGCAGGTCTAATCCTTTGTTAGAAACCAGGAAAAAATACTGAAAGACAGATTTGACATAGATTTAAGTGAATAGAGGAAAAACTAGATATTGCTTGCAATATATCTGCATCAGCTGGATGTGTAAATAAAGAAAGTTTAGCTCACACTAATATTAACCTAAACTAATGCCCTAAACTTTTCTGAGTTTGTGTACGAATGGTTGACAGAGAGTGTAAATTGTGTGTTTATAAGGGAAGTGTTTGTGAAAGTCTAAGGTGATTGGAAAGTCATGAAATCAAAAACAGCCACACCCCCTCACCCTAATATTTAATTTACTGTACCCAAGCACTTTAACCACATCTGTACTATAATGACATAATTTTGCCTCTTTTATAAACTACTTATTTGGAGGGCAAATGGGCAAAGCAAACAAAATTATCCTCAAATTTGGGAATAAGAAACTAATTCGACGTATATCACACATCCCTCAAAATGGCTAGGCTCTCTGTAACCTACAGAAGGATGTATTTAGGCCATGCCTCAGTGCAGCAGGGCAGGGTTGGTGTCTGTGGTCACTGTCTCTGCTCTCTCTGTCTCCAGTGGGACACCCTGCACATTTCTCCCAGTGGCCTTCTGCCAAACCCTGAGGTAGCAATCCATGAAAATGAGAGTTTTGCCCTGGGAGTTTAAAAAAAGATCTGTTTTGATCATCCTCTTTGGCTATTTATTCCCATGCAAGTTCAACTATATCTACAGAATTAGTTTTGCGGGGGAGAGTTGGAATTAAAGTTCAATCACGTAGGTTTTCTGCTACCTTACCATTATTGCTACCAAAAAGGCATCAAATTAAGATTCTCCTTGTCTGTTTGCAACCACTAAGACAGAAAAATGCGTCATAAGGGACATGATATGGTCATTTGTGGCTTTGTCTATAAATATGATGCATAATGCACAGAGAAGTATTGTGTACGAATTTTTTTCCATAGTTTTGTTTGGTTTTTCGTATGTATATTTCAATATGTATATATTATATATATATATATATATATATTTTTTTTTTATATAGCTGGATCATAAGTGAGAAATTGAAATACTGATCACTTCAAAGCTAGTTTTGACAATTTAGAATTTTCTTATCTTCAAAAAAGGCTTAAAAATATGATATGATTCCCTCTTTATGGCATTCGCTTTGAGTCCAAAACAAAACTGTCTGAACATGTACACCATTCCATCCTACCTTCCAGACACCAGACAATTTTTCCCCTTAAATTTAGAAAAGAACTAGAAGAAAATGTTCTTGTTTTCCTTCCTTGTGTTGACTCTGTGGCAGCATGGGTATTTATAATAGGAGACCAATGTCTGGATACTTACCATACTTTCTTCCATAACTGTTGATGTTTGCTTAAGGTCACTGCCTTTATGTGCAGCAAGACAATCATATTATTTACATACATGTCGAGAAACACAACACTTCGCTGTTAGCTGTACTGATGTAGAAACTTTCAAACCATGCAAGTGTAACTTATTCATGCAAATGAAGTTACTTTCTATAGTCATATGAGTCAGAAAATGTATCTGGCACTTGTTTAATTAATCTCCCAAAGTGAAATCTCAGTGGGTGTCAGGTGCATTCTACATGTGGTTTTAAAGCCTGGTTGAAATTTCACATCTCAAAATTCCAATAAAAGACACACTTTGTGGAACATAGAAGCAACAGACCTTCATTGTGAGTCATGAAAAACAAAACGGACACAAAGACTGTATCCATTACAACATGTGGTTTATTAATTAACTGCACACTTACACTTCAATTAGTCTCTTAACCATGGTCAAAACCTCACAAGCAGTTTATTCAAATGTACAAGTTAATTTAATATAATGAATAGTCTAAAACTACAATAGCCATTGCCTTAGGTCTTTTGGGCAAGTAATAAGGACATTCATCATTTCATGGGGTCATAAATGTATATTAATACATGAGCAGAACTTCAGAAGCAGTCTTTCATGTGCACCTCCTAACTTGCAGACTTTCTATTTCCATCTCTATGCAGACAAATATACACAGAGGAAACCATGGTGGTAGAGATGTATATATACAGCGGTGTAGGATGGTCAAATTCCCTCTGGTCATCACATTGACCACAGATGGCTTCCATGTGAAATGCCACTGTCTGATCAGGGACTATATTCCCCTCATGTGTCCTCCACAATTCACTTTATGGTTATTTCCAAAGAATCTCATGGATGTTGCCCAGACATTTCGCCCTGGAAAACACCACTGCTTGCTCTTTCACACTTTGAGACCAGTTTTGTGCACAGTGTTTTTTCTAAATCAAATTAGTGAACATGTCTACCGAAGACTACGAATTCAATCCTTGAGGCTGGTTGGAATTCATGATTCATATTTGTCCAGACAACAAAAGATTAGTTGGGCGAACGTGTGTCCATTAAGAACTGGATGTGATTCATGGGTGAAGATGCGTATTCTCGACAGCGGAATGTAAAGGGGCAGCATTATGTGTCAGAAAGGTGGCAAAAAACACACACAATATTCAATGTTGTATGAAAAGTTCAGATGTAAAATAAATACTGGATTGCCATGACAGCTGTTTCAACATCCTTCTGGTCCCTCTCACATCTGACTGTTTCCTCTCATTCTTTCAGAGTCTGGGTAACATATGTCAGGCCAGCTAGTGGTGATATCGCTCATCCTTACGGCAGATTATGTTTTGTATTTGATAAAATTGTTATGCCATAAGATTATAAAATGCTGCTGTGCCCGTATCATCAGGCATCAATTGATGGATTAAAAACCAAACTAAATTTGCATTAGTGGATATTCCTCCAGGAAAATAAACTTATCGTTTGTCTTCAATTCATCTGTAAAGTGTCTGGTGAAAATGCACATATTTTAACCGGAAGCTATACGATTGAAATAAATAAATAGATAAACACATCAAATACTGTGACACTGGTTTTATGGGAGCCAAAAAAAATCATCTTTAAATCTGTAGTAAACTGTTTTATTGTCCAGCCCTGCCCTCTGCTGTTAGAATTTTAGAAAAGAATTCAAATGCATAATTCTTTTTCTTTTTCTTGTCTCTTGGCTTGAAGAAGCCAACACGCTTCTTCACTTTATAGGCAAATAATTGCAATTAGCGCAAGTAAGCCATCCACAATCCCAATGTGGAACCCTTTGATAGACCAGAACACCCCTTCTATGCATAATGTGTTGTTCCTAATTTCATTTCCTAGCAGGAAATGATCTGTGTGTATACTTGTGTAAGGAAATATCTTTGATTTGTAGTCATTGTGTTGCTTGAAAAACGAAACCTGCATTTATTATTTTTACATGCCCTGAAATTGCAGCAAATTTGACATTTTTCTACAATTCTACGCGTAGCCTGCGGAGGGAGCTGTCCACCTCGTGACTGCACTCCGGGCGTTGCAGCGCCCTCAGAAAGGGCTGGGTGGTGATGGGAAATGCTTTTCCTCTGCCAGAGCACTTGGGGACTTGATGAAGATGGGATTGAAAGTCACCTCAGAAAAACAGCTGCCTATGACCATAGAAACAGACATTTTCTCTGGGGTCTGCTTCTATTTTACAGGCCAAGAGGCCAATGAATTTTGATTTGAGCTGGACCCTGGTATAGAGTTAATCAATAAAGACCATTTTAAGTCAGATTCATTTAGTGCATTCTGACTTTCGAGTTTTGTGTAACAGGGTTTTACTCTCTTATGTGCAGATCTTTGGCCTTCACAGTAGAATCCGTCTTGTAAAAAAGAATAAATACAGCCATACAAGTGAATGCTTTCTGTGGCTCTATCAGTTAAAAAAAGCCTTCAAAATGTTGAGAAAAAAAGCTGATGCAAATGAACATGACTGTCTACAGATCAACTTGTTAGATACGGGTACGAAACCAGGTAAAATGACATCAGCATCCTCGTCGTCATGTTAGTTTTCACGTCTTCACCTCTAACCTGGACTCTAGCACAGGATTAGGATTAGCAGTCCTTTAACTTTATCTACACATAATCCAGTGCATTTATGAAACTGGGGTATTCTTTTAGCTAAGAATATTAACTAATATAAACAGACAAGAGTGGACTTTAATAAAACTTGTGATTACCTTCCAGGCAGGTTTTCATCCTATGTGTACATCATTATCACCTTTTACCTTACATGAGTCAAATGGTTGATGACTTTGAACTCCATCCAACAGGAATTAAACCTCTTAAACCCTATCATGTCCTACCAGGCATAATGATGCCACTGAGCCTAGTGGCATTGTGCTCCTCAAATGGCACTAAGCCCAGGCTGAAAACGTCTCTGGTGTCTGTAAACACTGACAAATGATCCGAGGATAAATTTGTTTTTGGTTTTCAGATGCTCTGTGAGTATAACCAGTTAGTTTGAGAATGACTAACTGAATGTACCTGTACCTTTGATGTTATCTGGTCTCCCTGATGCATGTTTGTGATACAGATCTTGCATACTCTAGATAGAAAGTGTGATCTGGCAAAGGATGTATGGGGACATATGCTGGCTGCTAGCACTTCCTGAGGCCTATGCAGAGGAGGCTGTTGGCATGTCTCTGTTCTCATCACAAACAAGCCTATGGGAATGAGAATGGGTAAATGATTTACTGGCCAAACAAATATCCCCCGGCTAGATTTATTTTAGTCTGGCTTTTGAGTGCTAATTTGGAAAGCATGATACATTTTTTGGATATGCAAAATCCTGCTTTGCATTTTGGCTCTTATTAACAAAAAATTATTGAACAAGGAAGAGGAGCAAACCTTCATCCAGTTAGATAATGATGTTTAGTTTCATGCTGCGGAGAAACCTGAAGGTCAGCAACTTTTTCAGCAATGTCTCACCATCTTGGAGCAGAGGGACTTGCTGTCTGGCCATACAGACCCAAATACAAATTGCACCAGTTTGGACGTGACATGAGGAGCTCTCCATTAACACATAAGTTGCTGATAGATGTGTCACCACAAACAGAGAAATCTTCTTGAGAGCCTGATGAACTATAGAGAAAGAATGTTGAGAACATCAAAATAATGTCATATGAATGTTAGTTACATAAAGATATGAAAGGCAAATAGACCTTGTCACTGCCTTTTTTATTATTTTTTATTTCCAAACCTAATTCTTCCAAAAAAAGAGACAGCCGTCGTCATATTTTTAGTGAAGATTCCTATGTTATCGCATCAAATAATAATGAATAGCAGAACAAACCAATGCCTGTCCAAAAAATTTTTTTTTGTTTGAATGATATTTCACCTGAAGCAAAAATCATGCATATCATTTTTTTTTTTTTAGTTAGTTCCTTATTTGCAACGTATAATGCTGCAACCAACGACTATTTTCATTCAAATTCATCGACATGGGGAGGGGAAGTCCAGTTGTCTTTTGAATTACGCTGTTGTTCTTCCATAAGATAAAGATCACTTCTCCCGGCCGCAGTCGGTGCACAAAATGTCGTCGCGCTGGGTGAGGAAGCCCCGTCCCACCAGCGACACAGAGCACTGCATGCAGGTAAAGCACTCACTGTGCCACTGCCGTTCCTCAAAGGAGACATATTTGGCACCAGCAAGACCTGTGCACAGCAAACATTCTATGATTTTATTTTTGCAAACCAATGCAAGCAAATGTTGTCATTTTAAATACAATGATGCTCAATTAAAAATTCCATGCTGTGCAACTGACTGACAGATGAAAACTGCCAGCCAGAGTAAATCTTTGCAAATTGTATCAGAATTAATGGATGTTTGAATAATGACTTACTTGTGATTGGCTTTGTGCAGCCCACACATTTCTTGGCATAAAGGTTATAGAAACACTCCAGGCAATATGAAAAATTTTCCATGGAGGTGAAACGTTGACCTTGTAGCTGTTTTTTACACGCAATGCATAGAAAACATTCCCGATGCCAAGGCTTATCTTGATATGTCAGTCCACCTGTTGTGATAGCCTATGGAGATAAGAAACCCAGACAGTAAAACAAAGACAGAATGGATCTTTCGGTTGTTTTAACAGTCTGACTAAGAACATTTATTGCCTTGACCAGTAAGTATAAAACACCCAGTTGTAATCCTACCTTCTTACAGGCACAGCACTGATGTGCTAACTGTTTCTCAAAGCAGGGCACACAAAAGTAGCCGGTGTCTTTGGGGATGAAGGATTTGGTTCCTATTGGCTGGTGGCATCGGTGGCACAGGAAGCAGGTCTCATGCCAGCTGTTCCCCTTATATTCCATTTTACGAGTCCCTGGCACACAGGAAAAGAGGAACTCAGTCAGCATTTGGTACCTTGATGGCAGAAATACACTGCTACGTAAATAGTCCCACTTTGATTGTGGAAATAAAGTGTTTCAGCTTGAGACTGTAATATTCATTTGTAATTTTTTTTAAAAACAGATCACAAAATGACCTAATTACCGGCTCCAGTTCTTTAAAGGGAAGCTGACACCAGCTGTCACGGATAAGCAATTTACACAATCAAGAAATTTTAAACAAAAATAAAACAAGAAATGATACTTGAATATCTCTTCTTTGGCAAGGGAATGTTTTAAAGGTAATCTAAAAATCTGATGTTCTTTACCCATTTATTCTTATGCTTCTATTGTCTCTGGAGTATCTGTTCTTCACTGGTAGTTGTCTTCAGTTCCCTGTTTGTGTTTGTGTGTGTTATTCATATGAAGAAACTTTGCTTCTGACAAAGATTTCAGACCCCAATTGCATCATATATACTGTATATATATATATATATATATCATCAATATTTTTCAGGCTTTGCAGAGTTGATAGACAATCTGTTTTTCAAACACAGTTAATTCGTTTAAGTTCATCGTGCTCTTTGGGAAATGTGGTTGAAAGAACTACTACAAAATAGATAATCCTTACTAGGTTTTTGTTCAGATTGCATGTACAGCTAATGTTTCCAAGGCCAAGAACCAACCTAGTAATAAATGTTTTTGTTAAAAAAAGTGTCTTAGTTTGATAAATGATCTCACTACATGTACCTGGCATGATGGTTTTCTTGCAGGTGCCACACTTGGAGGAGTAATCATGTGCGTAGCACTCAGTGCAGAGCAATAAGTCCTCCTTGGCAGCAAAGGCCTTTTCTACCAGCGAGCGGCTGCACTTTGCACATTTAAAGCACTGCTCATGCCAGTGACGGTCTTTATAAGACAGGTCCTGAAATTGAAAGTATGTTTAGGAACAACATTCAAGCATTAACGAGCAGCTCTGAAATGAAAATACTACACTAATGTACCTGTTCAGTCATATCATTACAATACTGTAGGTACACTTTAATATCAGTTTCCATTTAGTCATGGTTTAGACGTTGTTGATCTCAGGACATTGCTTACCTTGCAGTTACAGCCAATGGATAATGAGCAGCGCTCACAGCAGTTAGCAAACAGGTTCTCGTAGCACTTTGTGCAATACTGTGTGTCTTCCTTCATTATGTACTTCTTTCCCAGCAGAGAGTCTTTGCAGTAATGACAGTCAAAACGCTCACTGGTGGACATTGCTTTTTTTTCTTCTCTCCACTGTCGGTCCAATAGAGCAGATGCATGAAATTAAGCAATATAAATGAACAGAACAGATGGGAAAGAAAGGTGATGCAACAGTCCAAGCTATTTTTTCTCCCCCTAATCATTTTCCTCCTTTCCAAAAGCTGGACTGTAGTAAAGATGTTTTTACCTCAGTTGAAATGTGGATGGAATGAGGCTGAAGTCAGGAACTGCAGGCTGAACAGTCCAGACTCAGGGATCTTGTAGGGATGAGAGGGGGCCAGGCAGGATTATGGGGTGACCACTGAGGGGCTCTTCTATAAATATGGGCCCTCTCATTAGGGGCACTCTCTGGAGAGAATGGGCATACACCATTGACTCATTATGCACCTTTTAAGGGAGTTCATAACTAACACACCACTAAGCTACATTTATGTTCTTTTTTTTCTTTAAATAAAAATGGCAACAGGCAAATAGAATTGCAACTTTGCGAAGAGAAGATTATTACCGAGAAACATGGCAGCCTACTCTGTGACAATATCAGTGCTTAATTGATAAGTCAGGTCCATGACAAAGCCATGACGTATGTGGACAAACCTGTGGTTTTGGCAGTACTTGTAGTATATTCAGTTGTGGTTGGCTTATGAAATGAAAATACCAGTAGATTTGTGATTTCCAGGCACAGGACCACATGGCCAGGACCTCTTGGTGGCTTTTGCAACACCTCTAAAGGAGAAAGCATTGGGGAAGTCTGTGTTCTATCGATTTGGGGTACTTCTATCATTGTTACTCTGTGGTTGACATGTTGTAGTTCATGTTAACACGTTTAGTCCATTTCCTTAAGCTTTATGCAAGAAAAAACGTTTGATACATTACGTAGAAGTCTTTCTGATCAAAAGCCCATATTTCAAATTGACTGACAGTTAGTTAATTACCTTACATGTGCTCATATCAGTTTTCCAAGAGGATCAGTGTAGCAGGCTTCTTCATAAAAATAGCCTGGGAAGACCACCAGCCCAGCTCACAGGCCTAATCCATCACACGCACAAGAAGGTCAGTGAGTGGGATGACGGTAAGGGGAATGTAACTCTGTATTCAGGAACTCTCTTCCCTGCTTTTTTCTCTCTTCATCTACTTCATTTTCAGTTGTTGTAAAGAAAAGCATAAAGAAATAACAACTCTTGTCATGCGGCCCATTTTTGAGTCAACAAGATTTGAAGGAACGTAGTTTATTGATGGAGGTAGCTCCACAAATCTTCAAAGGATAGTGCAATACTGCATGCAATATTTGACCCACAGGATGCTAGACATACGACACAAAGCCCAATCAGATTGGAAGTAATTCTGTTTCATTCTGTTTCTGCAGATCCACTGGATTACATCCAGTAACATGCTGCTCTGATCACATGATCAACCTATTGAGTCAAACCCCCCTCCTGGTGTCCATGTGATGGATAAGCTAAAGCCACAATCTTAACCTTTCAGTG